AAGGTTGAGAGGTTTAACTAAGAGTTGACTTTGTTGATATCAGGTTTGGATTTTGGTTCTGAGATTTGCAATAGGTCCGTTGTGTCATTTGGGACTTGCATGCAAAATTTGAAGTCCTTCAAAGTTGATTTGATATAGTTCGACATGAGTTTTAGAAATTGGAAGTTCATTTTTCCTTAAGCTTGAATTGGGGTACGACTCAAGATTTTGGTATTTTTTGATGTAATTTGAGGCTTCGAGTAAGGTCGTATTGTGTTTAGAACTTGGTGTGTTTGGATGGGGGCTCGGGGGCCTTGGGTGTATTTTGTATGGGCTTCGGACCATTTCTATAAGTTTTGGATGCTATTAGTTGATGTCCGGTTTCCTTCTTCGCGATCGCGAAGGGGAAGACACGGTCGCATAATTCTATTTGGTGGCAAGTGGGTTTTCTTCATCGTATTCACAAAGATATGTACACGTTCGCGGAGCTTTGTGGAGGCTGTGCATCACGATCGCGAGCAGGGAGCTGCGTTCGCGTAGTCGGGAGGTCGGTTGGGGGGTTTCAGCCCTTAAGCCTTCGCGTTCACTGAACGCTGGATGTGTTCGCGGAGGCGTATCATTGTTGGTCATCGCGTTCACAACCTAGACATCGCATTTGCATAGCGAGTTTCGGGAAGCTTTGGAATTTGTTCTTCGCGATCGCGAATGCTTTTTCGCGATCGTGCAAGGTAATGCCTAGGAGATTTGTTTTAAAACTCTACTTCAAGGATTTCTTCATTATATCACATTTTGATTTAGAGAGCTCGGTTTTGGGAAATTTTGAAGGGAATTTTCTTGATTTGGATTGGGGTAAGTATTTTTTACTAGGATTTATTTTTATTTCATGATTACATCTTTGTTTTAGCATTTAATCGGTGAATTAAAGGGAAGAAATGGGGGATTTTAGTAAAAAAAATCCTAAAGTGAAAATTGAGGATTTGAAGGTCGATTTGAAGTCGGAATTGGATGATATTGGTATGGTTGAACTCGTAATCGAATGGGTGTTCGAATTTGTAAATTTTGACGGTTCCCAAAGTGCGGTCCCGGGGTTGACTTTTTTATTTGAGTTAAAAATCTTAGCTTTATCTTTTGGAATTGTTTCTTATGGCTTTTATTGATTATGCTAAGTTAACTTTTCTAGATTCAAGTCGTTCGGTGGTTGATTCACGCGAGAAGGGCTTGTTAGAGGAGTGATTTGACTTGCTTGAGGTAAGTATCTTACCTAAACTTGGTTAAGGCACTAGTTGCCTGAATTATTTATGATAGCTACATGTTATGGGTGTGCATATGTATGGGGTCTGAGCCCATGTGCAAGCACCAAGGTATTTATCCATGTTCAGAATAGTGTTTAGGCTGTGATATACCTTGTATTTGACTGTTATACTTTAAGCTACGATGTTTAGCGTATTTGTAACCTTGTTGTGAAATATTTGACTCGTGTTTGAGGCTACGTAGAGGCTAATTCTCTAAATAAAATAGATAATTGCTATTTCTGTGATGAAATTGATGATTTGAGTTATGATAGCGTACTTTACACATGCCTACATTTTAATATGTCATTATATCAGTCTAGAAGCATGAAATCTAATATCCATTCATCATATACATGTATTCTTATATATTTGCTTCTGGGTGTGATATGATTTAGGATGTATGTCTGTGACCACATTGGGCGGATTGTATTGTTATGCATGTGACCATGCCGGGCGGATTGTGTTGTTATGCATGTGACCACACTGGGCAGATTATGATATTGAGCTTGTGACCACGCCGGGCTGATAGCACGTTGAATTGGTCGTGCTGTGTGTGGATATGGATCCATACCTCTAGGGTCACCCTCTCATGTGCCTTCTTGATGGTGTACACGCAGATTTGAGGAAATTGATTAGTGGTTTGGTACAGATATGAAAATACTGAGAAAAATCTAGCCAGTATTTGCTTTGGATTTTGTATTTATCTTTACATGCAAATTTCCATGGTTTATTACCTGATTTATTTGCATATCATCTTTATATGTTGTATCATTGACTGAGCAGAGAACTTGAGTAATTGTTCACACACAGATGGTTCTTTTTATGCTTTATGACTTGATCACATTATTGTTCTGCATTTGTTGAATTGATGAAACTATAAAGGTTATAGCAAGTATCATTTGTAATTCCTGCTTCTTGTACCTCGCCGAGGTTAGTTATGATACTTGTCGAGTATATTGAGTCGGTTGTACTCATTCTATACTTTGCACTTAATTGTGCAGATCTAGGTATCGGGCCCAGTTATCAGTAGTTGAGGCTTGTGGCATAGTTGATCACTAAGAGATGAGGTAGAACTGCATTCTCGATCGCAGTCTTGACGTCTCTTTTCTTATGTACTGTTGTCTTTAGTTCAAACAGTATTGTTATTTAGCTTTTCAGACTTGTATTCCGTTGTAGAACTCATGACTCTGTATTTACCAGTTTTGCGGAATTTATCGTGTATTGGCGTTATTATATTGTACTGAAGTTTCAGACTTATGTTATTTCTATAAATTTCGCTTTTTTTGGTTCTTTATTGTTATGTCCGACTTGCCTAGCAAGTGCGTTAGGCGCCATCACAACTGGTTAGGTTTGGGGTCGTAAAAATATTTGTTCATAAAGAGATTTATATTCATCACTCCTATTACTTTTTATCATTTTAAGTTTCTTGCATGTTAAGTTACGTTTTAATTCTATTTTTGTATTCCTCGTATACATCAATTGATTCATCATTATTAGTATGTAAGTAAACATAGAAATATCGAGTGTTATCGTCAATGAAATTTATAAAATTTGTTTTTCTACCATGAGGTGGTATTGATCTCATATCACAAATATGAGATTGAACAAGTCATCTTCATGTTTACTAAGGATGCAATTCTTGCACTGAAAGTCAGAATGCTTCCACGCCTCAGTCACAATGAAACATTCATTATCGGGAGTTCCTTCTGGTAGGACTGGAACGTCCTCTTTAATGAACTTTTGCCGATTTAGAGTGGTCAGATAAAAGAATATTGTATGATTTCATCTCTTAAAATTAATGCTGATTTCATTTTATTTTTTTGGGTTTTTCTGCCGGTGTTGGTGCTGTTATAGAGCAGCTTGAAGAGGCAGCCTGACTTGTAGAGCAAACTGCATGACCTGTTATTTGTGTCACGACGTAATACAACTAGAATTCATAAATTATGAAGTTTCTAATTTTCAAACCGAGTAATATCTGACATAAAAATTAATTAAATGGTAAAAATTTTAATCTTCAAATCGAGTAGGAAATTGAAGTGAAAGATCACGTAGATTTAATCTCTGCAATGACTAAAAATTAACCTAGACTTTAATCTCCGGAAAATGAGTAGAAAGTCACGTTTTTTAAGTTTTTTTACTCGCAAAATTTCAACTTTCAAGTTTTTTAAGTTTTCAAGTAAAATGCATGTCCAAAAATAAAAATTTTAATCTCAAAGAACGAGAAGAAAATTACACAAATTTTAATTTCGAAGATGGAGTAAAAAATATCACAAAGATTTTAGTCTTCAAAGTGCGAGTAGAAAATCATGAGGATTTAGTCTCCAAAATGGGAGTAAAAAATCAAGAGGATTTTACTTCTTTTTTTTCAAATAGCTTTTCAACTAAACCATTATTAAATAGCTTGATCTGTTACTCTAATCAAACAAGTATATATACATCTTTACATATTATATTCATGATCTCAAGCATACTTTCAAGTATTAGTATAAGCCTAATTCATATCCTATAAATACCATGAACGCTACTAAATTGTATATGAACGGTTAATAGTTACACCCTTGAAGATACAATGCATGCCACCAAATTATATATCTAACACAAATAGTTTTTCATTTAGTCAAGGGAGACAAAATCACCTATATATATATATTATATATAAACACATGCTATTTCTAATCATGCATATAATACTAACGAAGAGATTTATAATACTAACGAAGAGATTCAATTTTTTCCCCTGATTTCCTTGAACAGTCTGACCCACTCAACGGAAGTGAAATTAAATCATGTCCATTGGCATCTTTTCAGGAATACCCTGTGATAAAAATCCTGCGCCAAAATCATTCGGAATAAATTTGCTTTCGTTGTTTGACTTAGGAAAACAACTTCCTTTACCACTAATTTACTTCATCACCCGACAAAATAATTATCTTCCTCGTTTAGTCTTCACCGATTGATGTTAAGGCGAACACAAAAAATAAATAATAAAAACGTTAAATTCCTTAAGATTGTTATTAACGGTATTCGGAGGCGCATGTAGAGTAGAAGCTGCGGGTTCGGCAGAATCCAATTGCTTTAATTTAAACTATATATATTTGTCGTAAAAATTCATTGAATATATACAAATTATTAATTTAGAACCAGTAACTCAATATACTTAGAATCCCGAACCCATAAGCTTCAAATCCTACCTCCGCCTTTGACTGTATTAAGAAAACAGTAATGATAGAAAATTGGAAAAACATAATAACCAGAAACGTTAAAAGATTTCGAGCCCATATAATTCACCGTGTGTCCTTGAGGAATTTAATTCCCTCATTGTTGCTCATGGCTATGGATTAATTCCTCTTAGGATAGAACAAAAAAATAATCTGTAATAGTGACACTTCAAATTATAGAACTTCGAGGAACTCAAATGACGGAGCAGATCACAGTTGACACTTGTAATTTTTTGGAAAAACATACAGAGAAAACGGAGAAATTTCAGAATTTTAAGTGTGAAGAATGAGGCCAAGTCACTAAATTTATAAGCAATAAAAAAGTGAGATGGAAAGGTGCAATCCAAAATATGTTTTTTTTTTTTTTTTTTTTTTTTTTTGCATTCACACCAAAAACCCCAACAGCAGAATCCCCAGAAGTTGCAAAGTATAGACAAGAATGAGTAATTTTCCAAAGTTTAGGTTAGGTCAAACTATTTATTGTTAGTTAGTGTGACATAAAAACTGGTTTTAGGCGCTCTAGTTTTGTTGGTCCTTACCAGGTAAGAGGTCAGCGGTTCAACACTTGCTAACAGTAACATTTGGCAGAAAGAGCTCAAAAAGAATACAGAGAGTAGAAACAGACGTGTGCGTGTACCACAGATCGAAACTGACCTCTATATTTTGGATACTTTATTAGTATATTGTTCCATGTCTATGTTCGCTGATCTAATTTTTTCACTCTTCTAACTCGAATCTTTTACTTTTTCTTGGTGATAGTAAACATGTTACACGTTGGCAGCAGAAGCAAAACCATATCCCTCTCAGATTACAAAGTCACAAATGGCAAGTTTTGTTCTTCAACACTCATTATTAATTAATTTGTCCATCTGTTGGTAATCATGCTCTAAATTTAATCCCTTTTGTTTCCTTTTATTCAAAGGATACGGATTTTACCACATAGTAAGATGCAACTGCAACCATGCTTCATCATCGGTACATAATTTTAAGCTGTTCTTCTATGATTTGGATAACTGTACCTTTTAGTTTATTTAATCACATTTTTATCCTCTAATTAATTGTAATGACTACAGGTGCGGCCCCAAGAGGTAATTATAAAGGAGAGAATAAGAAAAATGTTTGGGAAAATAGAGATATCTCCATCTTGCTATGACACTGCTTGGGTAGCCATGGTCCCTTCAAGAGATGAGCCGAAGCAGCCATGTTTTGCACAGTGCTTGGATTGGATCCTTGAAAATCAGAGAGAAGATGGATCTTGGGGTTTGAGTCCTACCCACTCATTGCTTGTGAAAGACTCCCTTTCTTCTACTCTGGCTTGTTTGCTTGCTCTCTCCAAATGGAGTGTCGGACACAAGTTAGTCCAAAGAGGTAATTTTGTATTATACGTTCAAACTTAAAATGAACATAAAGAAGTTAATTAAAGACATATATACCTACACCAAAGTAGAGAATTAATTAGGTTGAATTTTAGTAAAAGCTTACTTTAAACATGTCATCTCCTCCCAAGTCCCAATACAAGAAAAGAGATTTGAGAAAGGTAATATGATCAAAATTTACATGTAATATTATTTATGCTGAAAAGATTTTATCAAATTTGTGTATGATTCAGTAGGCGTTTGGACATAAATATTGTAATTTTTGAAAAAAAAAAGTAATATTTGAAGTTAAGTTAAAAAATGGTATTTGGAATTTGAAGTTATGTTTGGACATGCATTTCACTTGAAAAATATTGCAGTTTTGTGAAGGGAGATTTTTTCTTTTTCTGAAAATTTTGAAAAAGTGATTTTTGTAAAATTTATTTTCGAAAAATTTCAAAAAACTTGCAAAATTTCAAAGACAAACACATTTTTGAAAAAAAAAAAAGAAAAAAAAATTAGGAACAAACGGGGCCTTAGTATTTCCTTTATTCTTCCATTTCCAGGACTGGATTATATAGGAAGACAGAGTTGGTCAATTGATAATAAGGGTCAAATTTCAGCGGGAGGATTCGATATTATATTTCCTAGCATGATCAAGTATGCAAGGGAACTGAACTTGAATGTGCCTTTGGACCAAAACCTCGTAAATGTCTTGTTCCAGAAACAAGATTCAGCAATGGAAAGGTATGTACCCTTAAAATAAAGGTTACTAGCTAGTACTATTTATGGGATGAAAAAATATCAATTATACCCATATAAAGTCTTTTGCTAATTTGAACCCAGGAATGATCTGATGGAGTGTAAAACCAACCCTGAATATTACTATGCCGAAGGCCTTGGCGAATTATGTCAATGGGAAGAGTTGATGACTTATCAAAAGAAGAACGGATCACTTTTCAACTCACCAGCCACTACTTCAGCTGCTTTGGTTTTTCATTGCCATGATGAAAAGTGCCTTGGATACATAAATTCAATCCTGAAACAACACAAAGATTGGGGTATGTATAATGATCATGAAATATTATATTATTGCTAGCTCTGTATTAGGTTTTATTTGGTGTCAAATGAACAGGTTAAAACTGGCAGAATCAATAAATAGGCGAATAGAAATGGACTAAGCAATGGATCATCACCTTTCAAAAGTATTCAAATGAAATTATGTCTCATAATTTTATGTTATCTCCACCCCTTTTTCCATTGCTAATATTTACTTTCTTCTTTCTTTTCTTGGCGCGTCTATGCGAAGTTCCTACTATTTATCCTACGACAATACCTACACGTCTGCAAATGGTCGATACCCTGCAAAAGCTGGGAGTGGACCGACATTTCGAAGCAGAAATCAGAACTGTTCTAGATGAAACATACAGGTAACTTTCGATAGATCATATACCTTGATTAATAAATCCATCTTTTAGTCTTATCAACATGTAATCCTGATTAATGACAAACAGACTTTGGGAGCAAAAGGACGAAGAGGTTTTTTCAGATGTTGCTTATTGCGCCATGGCGTTTCGACTATTACGGATGTACAACTACAAAGTTTCCTCTGGTTTGTTGATAAAAATCGTTTAATTACTCACCTTAAAAATTTGCACGATTGAAGAATTAATTTGCTAACATTTTGCAGAAGAATTAGCACGATTCATAGGTCAAGAACATTTCATCAATTCGTTAAATGCACAATGTACAAGTCATGAGGATGCAATTCTTGAGCTACACCAAGCCTCACAGTTGGCCTTTGATGAGAAAGATCACATTCTGGATGAAATAAGTACTTGGACAGAAGCTTTTCTGCAGCAGGAGTTATTAGAGGACAGTAATCTTGATAGGATGTCACAAAACGAGGTATATTACGTAATTATACTAATTGATGCTAAGATATTTTTTTATTGTTTTTCATTTTCTACTATCAATTTCTTATTTCATTTTAATCCCATGAACAAGGAGAGTGATCATAATCTTGAGCAAATTAAATAATGCTAGGTGGAACACGCTTTGAGGAATTTCAGTGCAACCCTTGAACGAGCCGAAAATAGACGATACATCGAGTCATATGATGTAAATATGTTCAAATTTTCAAAAACAGCTTACAGGTAAAAAGGTTCGGTTCTCTTGACTCATACATGTCTATGTTATTTCTATCTGTTTTTCAGATGAAATAATCTCTTATGCTCACTTATAATTTGAATAGAAGAAAATGACATTACAAAGATCTCGTGTTTAATTTATAGATCTCTTGTGTAATTTTTAACTAATCTCCTTTACTTTTTATAAAAAGGGACATTTGTAATGGACTATAAAACCAAATCTTCTCCTTTTTTTCATCCAAAACAACAATGTATGTGCACGCCACGGACAATAGGAATAGATAGAACCAATTAAACAGGACTCTGCATCCAACTAGAAATTCTTCGAAGCTACCTTGTAATTACATCAATGATACATTTGTTAAATGTCGCTGAGGAAATATGATATTGTCTCCTTATATGATCTTGAACGGTCCTCACTTCATGAGCTAGCTTGTAGAGTTGAGGTATGCCTATTTTCTTTATATGGTATCAAGGTCAAACCCTTATCCCTATTCTTTGTGTAACCAATGTTGGGCTCCAAATGTCACGTTGCCCACGTTTCTAATGTCTAGTTTTCAGTGTATTTTCACCTTATGGGCTAGCTTTTAAGATAGGATTTAGGCAATTCATTTACGAGTAGTTTCCGGGTGTCATTATATAAAATTGCTTTATAGGTTCCTGCCATTTTAACAATGCAATTTGTTGTTTTCTTTCTTTTTAGGTCCCCCAACATATACAACATGGATTTCACACTATTCTCTATGCATGATTTTAATTTATGCCAAACAGTACACCAGCAAGATATTCAAGAACTCAAGAGGTATCACAACCAGCTCTTTTGACTCGAACATGACATACTTAGATGCATTGCTCCCCAATATATTTTACTATCATTTAGTTTTTTTTTTGCTTTTTCAAACTTTTTGTAGGTGGTATGAAGATTGCAAACTAGACCAATTAGGAATTTCACCAAAATATATATACACTTCATATATGCCAATGTCTTCATTATTCTTCGGACCTGAATTCTCGGATGCTCGTTCCGTGTTTGCAAAATATGTTTTGCTCACAACTCCACTTGATGATTTTTTCGACGAATTGGCTTCCCAAGAAGAGCTGCTCAACTTAATCGAATTAGTAAAAGGGTACTATAACTGTTCTTGTTCTCTTTATTTTTTCCAGAAAATCAGTTCCTTTGTCCTTCAATCCATAGTTTTACTTTATTTTTGAGAAGTGTTACATAACTTTATCTATTTACAGGTGGAATCGGCATTCAACCATTGGCTACGTTTCGGAGAGAGTTAAAATTTTATTTTTAGCAATATACAACACCTTTAATGAATTTGCAGCCAAGGCAGAGATTATGCAAGGTCGGTGTGTCAAAGATCAAATATTTAGCTTGGTAAGCTACAGTCTGGTTTTTTTTTTTGNTGGGCCAAAACTTTCGGAGGAAGTTATAAAAAGTGCAGAACTTGGTGAAATATGCAAATGTACGACTATGGTGTGTAGACTCCTTAATGACACTCAAACTTACAAGGTGAGTTCTTCATTTATTTCTTCGTTCATTTGATAGTTACACTATAAATATCTAAAAAATGGTTGTCCGGTGCACTAAGCTCCTGCTATATTTAGGGTCCGGGGAATACTAGACCACAAGGGTCGATCTTTTGTACACAGTCTTATCCTGCATTTCTATAAGAGACTGTTTTAACGGCTCGAACTCGGTGACCTCCTGATCAAATGGCAGTAACTTTACCAGTTACACTATAAATATCTATTTAACAATATCTTTTGGTTGCAGAAAGAAAAAGAAGAGAGGTCANTGAAATATGCAAATGTACGACTATGGTGTGTAGACTCCTTAATGACACTCAAACTTACAAGGTGAGTTCTTCATTCATTTGGTAGTTACACTATAAATATATAACATCACCTGTACTAAGCTCCCGCTATGTGCAACAACTTTACCGGTTACACTATAAATATCTATTTAACAATATCTTTTGGTTGCAGAAAGAAAAAGAAGAGAGGTCAAGTAACATAGTCAACATACTCGTAACACAAAGTGAAGGAACGGTTTCGGAAGAAGAGGCAGTAGAAGAGGTAAAAGAAATGCTGGAGAAGAACAGAAGAAAATTGCTGAGAATGGTGCTTCATAAGAAAGAAAGCAGTCAGTTGCCGCAAGTATGCAAAGATCTGTTTTGGAACACGAGCAAAGTAGCTCATATTCTATACTCAAACGGCAATGAGTTTCGTTCTCCAGAGGGACTCAAGAGTAATATAAACGCATTATTTTACAAACCAGTCGACCTATCCCCAACACAAGCCTAATATAAGAGTCGCGCCAAATAGCCAGTGCTGAAACCCCAAACAGATTTTAATGAGTTTTGTTGTTCTTAAACTGAATGTTAGCTTATCCTGATGCTATATATCTCTATGACCAATTGTGTTCATTGATCACAGAGCATTTGGAAAATTTCCTTTTGTCTTCTATACTTCAACCTATTGTTAGTTATGTTGTAAAATGTAGTGAGACCTTCAGTTAGGTTGTTGAAATAATTAGAGTTATATTTGGAATGTTTTCAAAGTTTGATTTGCCATTTGTCAGTCAACAGCTAAATCTTGTCACCACATGATTGACATTATATAAAGTAGTTGGGTGTGCCGACAAAGTCTAACATAGATAGTTGAAAAGATTGGGAGACTCTCTATATATATAAAAGGGGTAGGGATCTCTTCCTTAAAATATTTCTTCAGTTTTGTCAACTCTTCACTATTTACCTTCTTCGTCTCCAAAAATTCCAATTTCAAGACTCATTTCTGTTATTTCGTGAATCAACGTACCTTACTTTGGTACTTGTGGCAAGGCCTAAAAATCAAAGGTCAAATAGATTGCTACTCCGTACCCATCCATAAGTAAGCGATAGATACCTTCTGTAGTTAGGTATCAATTAGTATTCTGACGAGTCCAGAGCAACACATTCATAACCAACTAATATTTTGGGGAATCAATTATTGTTGAGTTAATAATGGGGTCTATTTACTGAGGTGCCCACGAGATTCTCCCAATGAACATGGTCAAATAGCAGATGTGCACATGTTTCCTTGTTTCTTCGAAAAGAAATTGCATAATACAACTTAGAAGTTGTATAAGGTCGAAGTCGAGCTCGGTATACCGAACTAGAACCTGAGGTCGATACCGGACTCAACGTAGATTAGGCTTAGAACGTGGCAATCACAGACTGGAGATTGACAACCACAGACTGGAGATTGACCTCGCGTCTCACCGAACTAGAACCTGAGGTCGGAAGACCTGCCTTCGAGGAACGTTGAGTCCGGTATCGACCTTAGCCTCGAGCGAGCTCGGAAATAACAAACGGAAGACCGAAGTATCCGCGACCGGACGGATATTACGGCAAGAATCTCGGCGCATATCGGCAAGGAATCAAAAATTAGTAAATCAAGAGATTTTTACCTTTTATTACCTAGAGTAAGACTCCCCTACTATATAAAGGGGGGTCTGATAATTTATTGGACACATTGTAACACGCATCCCAAAGCAATATACTGTTATTACTAGTTCTTATTATCGCATCATTCTGTTCCGGCATCGATTAAGCTTTTCTGACTCGAGGGTGACCAACCTTCAAGGCCAAGATTATTCGACTTGTGTGATTTACATTTACTTTTCAATCATTAATTTCAATAGTAATCTAATTTCTCAATTTGTATCAAGTTAGATCACATATCCTTAAACCGTGCATAAATTCAATTGTTATCCGATTTTGAAGGTAAACAGTTTGGCGCCCACCGTAGGGCTAAGGATAATAGTGGTTATTTGATACAAATTTCCGTAACACACACTATTTTACACTTGTTCTTTGAAGTATCTCTGATTTCAAACTTAAGCTCAAAATGTCAAACTCATAGTTAAAACTTCTACCTGCTGACGATGAGTCTGGTCACCACGGTGAAAATAATAACATAGTGCTCAGTAACGAGGTACCGCCCGTTGATCCCTTCGGTATTCCAATTACGGACCCGTTGGACGCTAATTCGTATATGGCTATCGACACAAGCCTCTCTACTGACCCCGATAATAGCATCCGTGGTGGAGCTCGGTCGACAACACAGAATACACAAAATAATGGAGGATACAGGATCAATCTACGGATGATCTTCGAAATGTTACAGGCTCAACAGGTGGCGATAACTCAGTTACAGAACTAGAGCGGCATAACGAGCAAGATCGAGCCCGATCCGTCTCGAGAGATCACTCGTAGGGAGGAATCAATCGCAAAAAGTTCGAGTGGGAACGAGTCGGGTAATAACCCCGAGATCATAAAAATACTCAAGGAGCTGACAAAACGAATTGAATTAAGGGAGAAGAAAATCGAAGCAAACGACAAAAAGGTGGAATCCTACAATTCTAGGATCGATCAGATCCCGGGAGCGTCGCCAATATTGAAAGGCTTGGATTCAAAGAAGTTTGTAAAGAAGGCTTTCCCTCCGAGTGTGGCTCCAAAGCCGATTCCTAAAAAATTCTACATGCTCGAGATTCCTAAGTACAATGGAACGAATGACCCAAATGAGCATGTCACTTCATACACATGCGCCATCAAAAGAAACGACTTGGAGGATGATGAGATCGAGTCTGTCTTGCTGAAGAAATTTAGAGAAACCCTGTCAAAGGGAGCTATAATATGGTATCACAACTTACCCTTACTCATTTGCTATGTTTGTAGTCTCTTTTGTGAAAGCACATGCTGGGGCTATCAAGGTCGAAACCAGAAAATCAGACCTCTTCAAAGTAAGGCAAAAGGATAATGAAATGCTCAGAGAGTTCGTATCTCGGTTTCAAATGGAATGGATGGACCTGCCACCGGTCGCTGATGGTTGAGCCATTCAAGCTTTTACCCAAGTAGTCAATGTTCGAGTTCAGTGGCTTTACAGCAGTTGAAGCAGAATATGACAGAATATCTAGATGTCACTTGGGCTGATGTGCATAACCGATATCAATCAAAGATCAGAGTCGAAGATGATCAACTGGGGGATCCTTCCAGGTTCGTTTAACCTATTAGACCCATCGATAGAGTCAAGAGAAATATCAATCATGAACCAAGGCCGAACAGGGATCGATATCCACCATATAGTGAGGATCGAAGAAACAGTGGGTTTGGACGGGGTTCTATACAAAATGAAAGGAGAAATGACCGAGGCCAGAGCAGGCGAGGACTTATGAGCAAGAACGGTTTCGACAGGCCTATCGGACCTAAAGAGGCACACAGGTTATCAGAATATAACTTTAACGTTAATGCTGCTGCTATCGTATCGGCTATTGGACGCATCAAAAATACCAAATGACCTCGACCTCTACCATCCGACCCAACCCAAAGGGATCCAAACCAGATGTGCAAATATCATGGCATTCACGGCCACATAATAGAGGATTGTCGACAGTTGAGGGAAGAGGTAGCCCGGTTATTCAATAACGGGCATCTTCGAGAATTTCTGAGTGACCGAGCCAAGAATCATTTCAAAAATAGGGACTCTAATAAACAAACCGTGCAAGAAGAACCTCAACACGTCATTCACATGATCATCGGATAGGTTGATGTTTCTCAAGGTCCGATGTTAAAGCGCACCAAAGTATCCATCACAAGGGAGAAACGGTCTCAAGATTACATACCAGAGGGAACTTTGTCTTTTAGCGGCGAGGACACAGAAGGAATCATGCAGCTCGATAATGATGCATTGGTAATATTTGTACTCATGAATAAATCATGAGTTAAACGTGTGTCAATTGATCCAGGCAGGTCGGCCAATATCATTCGATCGAGGGTCGTAGAATAGCTCGGCCTACAGGACCAAATCGTATCTGCAGCCGAGTGCTAAACAGATTCAACATGGATTGTGAAACTACTAAAGGAGAAATAACATTGCCAGTAAACGCCGTCGGAACCATCCAGGAAACCAAATTTTATGTGATTGAAGGGGACATGAGGTACAACGCCCTGTTCGGAAGGCCATGGATCCACAACATGAGGGCAGTTCCCTCGACTCTTCACCAGGTGTTAAAATTCCCAACGCCAGGAGGGATTAAAATGATCTATGGGGAGCAACCGGCAATAAAGGAAATGTTTGCAGTCGAAGAAGTGATTCCGGAATCAACACTGGAAACATCGAAGGAACCAAGTTCGAATACAAAGCACGAAACTAAATAACAATTATCGACACCATCCACGACCCAATCGGATAAACATATGACCGATGAAGATGATAATTAGGAGGTTCCTAGATCTTTTATAGTCCCAATGATTCTGATGCTACAAAATCAACACTCGAAGAGCCGGAGAAAGTCACATTGATCGAACATCTACCCGATCAGAAGGTTTACTTGGGCACGAGGTTAACCCCCGAGCTCAGGAAAAAACTCATTCAGTTTCTCATAGCTAACATAGATCGTTTCTCTTGGTCCCATCTCGACATGACAGGGATCCCACCGGAGATAGCCACTCACAAGCGAACCTGGACCCAAAATTCCACCCGTTCAGGCAGAAAAGGATACCCTAGTCCGAAATCAAACATTCTTTCATCAAGGACGAGGTAACTAAACTCTTTGAAATAGAGTCTATTCGGGAAGTCAAATACCCGGAATGGTTAACAAACGTAGTAGTAGTCCATAAAAAGGAACAAACTAAGAATGTGTGTAGATTATAAAGATTTAAATAAGGCATGTCCCAAAGACTCTTTACCTATTCCCAACATCGATTGCATGATCGATGCCATAGCCGGCTACGTGATCCTCAGTTTTCTCGATGCCTATTCTAGGTACAACCAAATACGAATGAACCCGGATGATCAGGAAAAGACCTCATTCATCACTAAGAATGGCACATACTGCTATAATGTGATGCCATTTGGATTAAAAAATGCCAGTGCCACTTGCCAACACCTACTAAACAGGATGTTCGAAGAACAAATAGGGGAATCCATGGAAGTTTACATTGACTATATGTTGGGTAAGTCCTTGCGAGCAGAGGACCATTTAAAGCATTTGCATGAAACCTTCTGTACATTGAAGAAGTACCACATGAAGTTGAATCCGGAGAAATGTGCGTTCGGAGTCGGATCAAGTAAATTTCTCGGGTTCATGGTATCCAACCGAAGAATCAAGATCAACCCTGACAAGATGAAATCTATTGAGGATATCACGGTAGTGGACAACGTGAAAGCAGTGCAAAGGCTAACTGGGCACATTGCCGCCTTGGGGCAATTCATCTCGAGGTCCTCCGATAAGAGCCACCGATTTTTCTCGTTACTAAAGAAGAAAAACAACTTCACATGGACCCCGAAATGCCAATGGACCTTGGAATAACTCAAGCGATATCTATCGAGCACACCACTACTCCACACGCCGAAGGCAGAGAAACAACTATACTTGTACTTGGCA